CCTCCGAGCGGTTGGAGAAGAGCAGAGCATACCTCAGCACCGGACGATCATCCCGGGCTCAGCCGGGAGTTTTCGACATGTATATATATGATATTGTTGCTGTTGTTCTTGGGCTAGGACTTTTAGACAAACTAAGGAAAATTGCAAGGCCATGGAACGAAAATGGGAGGGGGAAAAAGTCATGCCACACTGCCTGAGTCAGGTTTCGTAGCAGGCAGGATGGGGGGCAAGGGCGCAAGGCCTTGCCCCAAAGAACACACAATCCGTGAAAGAAAAGGAAAGACAAGGGATGGACGCCCCTCAGGCGTCGCACTAATTTGCACGGTTGGGCTACGCCAAGTCTCATCAGGGTCATCGTTTTTGCGCCTCGCTCGTTTTTTAGTAAAAGCTCTTTTGGCAAAATGCATTCGACTTTGCAGGCGAAACAGCGTTTTCGCAAAAACTTTTGATGTCTAGGCGTTTTCGGCACTGCCTTTTCCTGTTCACTTCGAACGGCTTCTCATCGCTTTTGCGATGGCAGGAAAGTGATCGTTCCCTCTGTGGTGATAGCAAACTGCCAACTCCGAACATAGTTTAAGAGTTCCAGATAGACAGCTCGACTCTTTGCTTTGGTTGTATTCACACGCTTGGGTATCCAAGCTTTCAAGCTCTTCCATGAGCTGTCAGCCAGTTGTGTTCCACCCATCTGCGACGACCTGGGTGTAGGCTTCTTTTTGAGTTTCTTCGTGAACTGTTGCTTCACATGTTTCACCTGCGCTGTCAAAGCAAAAAGAGCTGTAAACTCATCAAAATACCGTGTCCGCGCCCTCGGATGTCAACGACGGTCGATGTCAAAGACGAAGGCCCAACAAACGTCTAGACAAGACCCAAAGCGAAGCAGTCAGAGCGGAAGAGAAACACGGAACCGAACGAGTGTACCCAAGCCAAGCAGCTGATAACAAAGGTATGTAAGAAGGTAAACCGCACCAATCACACTAAGATCTATCCGGATCGAGCGAAACCTGTAAAACAAACCGCTCTAGAGAATCTTGACCAGAACGACACCAACCGTCTATGTACTGATCGAGGGTAAATGGATTCACACGAAACAAAACAACAGCACACGATCCGAAAACGGACACGGCTGACCAGCAATGCGAAGTAACAAGACAAACACCAAGACTAAGGCTTGGGGGCCAAACCATTGTTGAACCAAAATCCTGCACAGTGCAACGAACTATGAAGCTATCTTAATGTGAACGAAGTGCAACGTTATCTTAAAGTAAACGAAGTACGAAGTTATCTTCAAGTGAACGAAAAAAAATCGACGTCATTGCCCCCCACCCTGCAGTGTTCACGAAGCAAGGCAGCAGCAAGTCAGCGACAAAAGCAAAAATAGCACACCTCTCACGAAGCCCTCTTGGGACCCATACCAAAAAGAAAGCAAGCTCCTCTGCTCTAAAAATTCTCACCCTCGGGTGTCCCTACGCATTCTGTATTTTTACCCGGGGGTAGCCTCCCTGCTGACTTCTTCCTTTCTTCCTTCCGTCCTGCCTTGACTACCCACTAGGAAAAACAAAAAAAGTATTGCCTTCCGCACACGATCCCAAGCAAAGGGGCCGACCATGGACTGGGGAAGGTCAGGAAAAAGGTTCAAAAACGAGAAAATTGAAAAACTGACACAGTCACGGACTTGGAAGTTTTGGAAGACTATATTTGATTTGATGTTCTGATGTTCCAAATTGGGTCCTTTAGCATCCCTTTGTTGCGGAGTATGGTGTCTTTAGGGGGCGCAAACTCCGAACAGTTTCAACATGTTTCAACCAACAGAACAGGGAAACTTGCTCCCAGAAGCTTGAGAAAAAGCCTGATGTGGCATTGGAAGGACGTAAAAAGGTGTCAAAGATTGTCAAAGATGCGGTTCTGCATGTTCTTCATCCATTCCACACTTCAATGCCTGGCTGTACCAGGATTCAGCATCCTTCCAGTTGCGCTGGTGAAAGGCACGATTGCCCCGCTCCTTGAAGGTTCTTGCCGCTGTGACTTTCGTGTAATAGCGGATCACCGGAACTGGTTCAGGAGCTGTGAAGGCCTCGCACCAGTTTCGACAAGCACACACAAACAGAGGATGAGGCGGGGCTTGCAAAGAGGTAAAATACTCAAAGCCTATCGTAGTAAGGCCAGGAGCCCCTAGTAGCGTCCTTGCTCCTAGTAGCGATGCCAGGAGCCCCTAGTAGCTTCTTGCTCCTAGTAGTAAGGCCAGGAGCCCCTATCATCTGGTGGATGTAGTGCTGGATCTTTAACTGCTATGCGGGGAGACCGAAGCAGCCAAAGAACTTGCGTACGTCTGCGTGTATGTGTGCGTCACATGCCGGCGGTCGATTTGAGAGCCCGGCATGATACACGATCAAAAGGCTTGATGCAAAGGCGGCTGTTAGCTGCAGAGCTTGAAGCTCTACAAATCTCACACAACGAATCTCGAACAGGAACTGAGTCTAGATGTTACGTGTTCTTAAAGAAGTTACTCTACAGGACTTAGAGCTGGGGGCGTCTGTTCCACACGTCGCACTTTCACAAGCGATGAACGCACTCAATTCTCTCCTGCCCCTTTCGTGCACCTTGGCTGCCCCTGGCAAGTCCTGCCTATGAGCTCCTGTGTCTGACTACTACCTCACCTGTACACCTCAAGCCTCCCAAAAACCTGAATTCGTCAAACCAAGAATAGAGACGCTTGGATTTCTGCGCCTTTCCTGTCAACCCGCGAGGAGCCTGGTGAAAACCCGTTCATTCGTGTGTTCTTCACACTCCATCTGGTTCACAAAAGGAAAAACGAAATGCTCCACATGTCGCATCGGCCATCCCCGCCTGCCATCCCAAGGTCGGTGCGGACAAATCGTCGCTCCTCACCCCGTAGAGGGGCCTTCGGTCCGCCAAGCAACCGATCACCCAGCTGTAGCTGTCGGCACGGTGTGCCTCCCGGCTGAGCACCAGGCCGTGCTGGTTCCGGTAGATAGGTACCCCGTCACCTCAGACAACAAGGATCGTCTTAATAAAAAACCCTGAAACTTCAACCACCGGCCACGAACCATCACGTGGCGATCACCGCTTGATATCAAAAAAAGATGCATACCCTCACGATGGCCAAGGGAACGCTCATCACCCGTGGGAAAGTACTCTCCAAGAGCTTCAGGGTCTCCAGCTTCCTTCCCCAAGCGCCAGGGATCCGGCCGGTTGAGGCCCATTAATTCAAACTCACTGGTTTAAGTCTGTAAAAGATCGTATAGGAAACTGAATAAGATGTGCGAAACCCTGAAGTCTGCTTCTTCTCTTTCCTGCTTCTGCTTCTGTTTCTGCTTCTTCTTCTTCTTCGATTCTTCTTCTTCTTCTTCTTCTTATTCTTATTCTTGCTGTGCATGTTTATTATTAGTATTGTTATTATTCTTTGTGTTTCACTTTTCTTGTATTGCTTCTTCTTATGTTTCCTGCTCTCTGCCTGTTTCTTCTTCTTCCTGCTTGCTTGTCTTGTTATGAAGGAACCTAGCGCCAACCTAGCGCTGCCTTGCTGTATAACCATAATAATCTGTTGCGGGCCCGCTTCTAAACGAAGACTTAAAAACACATCTCCAACCTCAAAAGTTTACGTTTGTCTGTTTTTTGAGTAGGGCTTTTTGAGCGCAATCCATATATTCTTCAAAACGTTCTTAAAGCAGTAGTATGAGTAGCTAAGTTAAGGCATCATATTCTGCTTAGCCCAATAGTGTGGCAATCAAGATGGATTATCGTTACCGGAATATCATCCTTTTGGACCATTCAACCGGTTGGTGTTTGAACACAGTCAACTGGCCCCCGGTCCTTGACCCAATAGTGATGCATCACGGTGTCGGCCGGCCTCCGCTGCTCGTAAGCCTCGACCGCCATGCGGATCTTCAGCTCGTGCAAGCGATCCCGGTGGCGGTCAGACTGCCCTGCCTGCAATCGTGAAACGACTTCCACGGATTGCTGGGTTTGGGGTTTCGGATTGCTGGTCTCAAAGAAGGAGGCAAAGAAATTAGGCAAAGAAATTAGACAGGCACCCAGATCATTGGGCCTCCTTGGCATACAAATCATCCATGGTGACCACTGGCTCCTTGGTCAACTCTCCTTGGTATCTCTGGATCTCATCTTCTTCCTCCAGCGCCTCACGCTCCTTCCAGGGGCCAAACCAGAAAAGGCTGTTGGCTCTTCTTGCAGGTGCACTTCTCAATTAAAAGATCTCAGTGGGTGAAAGTTTCAAGACTTTATTGATATTTATTGATTGATGATATTGGCCAAGCGTCTGCAATATGCTTCCACTTGGAATAGTCCAAAGAATAGCTTGGCATCGCGGCAAGCTGCGCTCAGAGCTTACTGGTTGTTCATGTCTCCATGTCCTGATGTTTGGTTCTCTTTCTTCCTCCCTCTGTCAATTGTCCACCTCCAAGCTGGGAACTTGAAGCACCACGTCACATTGACTATACAGGTGGTTTATGAATTGGCAGAAGCGTGTGCTAAAAGGCTTATTATTGGCCCTTCGGCATCTGTTCTTCGATACCGGGTAACCCCGGCAATCGCTCGAGCCTCACGGCTGCCCTTTCGCGACCACCCGAACCGCTTGGACGTTCGAACACGTTATGGATGGAACTGATTCTTGATTTTGGTGGAGTTGCAGCGAACGGAAACTAAATGGACGCTGACGCTTAGTTTTGGACGAGCAATCTCATGGGTCATAGAGTCATAGGGGGGAACCTCCAGGATTTGACTGCCATATCAATATCACACGCCTCAGGACGTGAAAAATAGAAATCCATCTTGCAGGGATTCTTCAATGTACATATATAGGAAGGTGGAGCTCAGACCAAAACAAAAGACATGACAATCATCTGGTCAACTTCCACACGCGATCCGCATGAACCTCATCATTCATGAACACACTCACTTATTTTCTTGATGGGCAGTGTTGCATTTCGCTACAACCGCACTATCCCACACCGATCACATCTCGCCTGGCGCGCCAGGGCCGGCAAAAGCACGGCATTGGCGGTCAATGGTCGAGAGTTCTCCTCGGCTGGTCAGTCATCTTCACAGACTCTGGTCCTTGCTTGGGGTGCCAGGAACAGCATACTGTATAAGCCTTGCCAAGAAGATTTGACACCGCTTTCGTCCCAGAATTTCCATGCATGCTTCATCAAAAAGGTGCCCAAGAACTGAATCCTGGGCATTTCAAGAACTGAAAACACTCTTTCAATAACTGTCTGACTCTCATTGGGAAGGTGGGACGCTCAAAGGACGGTTCCTCTGCGGCCTGTCTGCATCCTCTAGAATTTAGACCATTGTCTGGCGCCCAACGCAGACTAGTGGCTCGATTCTCGTCAGCCTGCGACCGCGCGGCGAAAAAGGGCCGGCACCCCGAATCTCATCCCACATTTGCAGGAAACGAAATACAGGCCGCACCTGGATTAAGTCAAACAAATGAAAAACCATGTTCAAAAAACAACATGTTCATCGACTATCCCTCACTGACCCCCTGCTAAAATCCGTTCGGCTCCATGGCTCTAAGGGTCCGACGGGCAGAAGAAGGATCTTCAGAAGGGAATTGTCCATTTTGTGCAGAGTAGCCTGCCACAGCACTGGGCTTGGCCTCTTCGGAGACCGGAGACATCACTGCTCGGTCGACCTCCAACGACCCAACTGCCGCGGTGCCGAGTGTTCAACGAGCGCGACCTTGTCAAAGGAGTCGAAGTCGACCTCATCTCCACTGCCTCGCCTCAGGTGTTTTTTCAGCGCAGCCCCTTTCACTGCTCAAATGGCTCTCCTTGAAAAGTGGCGATCACAACGCCTAACAGTGGACCCAGCCATTGCCCAGAGGAGTCTTAAGCTCGTAAGCTGGCGACCCTTAAAATGGTCATGGCAAAGGGCCAAGGACTACTCGCCTGTTCATGGCTTCCAGAATTCTTCATACCTTGAACCTTTGGGCGTCGCCGGTTTTCCGTCACCCTGATAGGTCCCCCCGGCAGCTGTGGATGCTGCGTGTCCTGCAGAAATCGCCTCAGGACGTCGCTTCACTTGGCCGTTTCCAGAGGAAAAACATGCAAACATGGCCTCAGAATGCTTAAAAGACATGGTTTCACTGTCAAAGAAACCACGACACGTATTTCCAGAAATGAAAAAACGATGTTCTACATCGTCTCGGTCTCTGTCTCTTCATGTCGCCAAGTATTGGAGACGATGTCTCAGACGTGCCCTAGAGGCCCTGGCCACAGTGCGCGTGACACGTGCGCGGCCTGAAGAGTGTGGGTCAGGCAATGCCCGTTTGATCCTTTGCATGTGACAACCAAGTAACAACCAAGTAGTTGCTGGGATGGGCCCTAAAAATTCCAGCACCTCAAAAGTTACAAGCAGAAGTGGCTCCTTGAAGAATCACCACTCGACTTCAGAACAAAAAATGTCTTTCCACTAGGTTTTGGTGCTTCGTGCAGAGTCGGCTCCATGTCGTTTAGTAGGCACCACACCAGCTCCACCGCTGCAGTGGTGCTCAAGAGGTTCAAGGCACTGGGCCTCAGTCATCTGAAGACCCTTCAACCGAAACGCTCGGCCGATCGAACGGTGGAAAGGAGCGACCGGGTGTGAAGTTTTTTGGAACCCACATGTTAAGGTGATTGTTTGGAAGGCTGCCAGAAACAGGGTGGATCGTCTACAAGGTCGTTTTAGTTCTAGAGAATCCATGGGTTAGTTATCGAGTAGTCTCTGATGGGTAGCACCGAAGGATAGGATGGGACAAAAGGATCAGAATTGCCAGTTCAGGTACAATACCAGCAGGCGTTTTGCAAATGTGCATGGATTTCTTCCTTCAACCTCTTTAGGGCTCCAGCCTCTTTAGGGCTCCAGCTAGCTCCAGGCACTTAGGGCAAGATTGCTTGATGTTTGAGAAAACCCCTGAGTGCTCGGTTGAAACTCGAGTGCAGAGTCATCCCAAAATAGATCACCCCTTTCATTCGCTTCAAATCCCTCCCACCTTGAGACCCCTGACGCTTTGGCCACCTCTCGTAGCCTTGTGACAATGTCCTTGGGTCAGTTGGGTCAGTTGGGCACAAAGGGACGTAGGACAACTCCTGGTGCCAATCAGCTTGCGGCTGTGATCTGAAAGGCTGTCCGGCCCACTGACCCCCCTCTACTCTCTGCACCCGAAGAGACCAGACCAGGTCGCATTCCGTGCACCTCCGGAAGCTCGTCCGACACCACCCCGGTCTCCTGCGGAGGAACCGCCGCCAATGCCATCTGGAGGCCTTCGTTGCCTGCAGATGGGAGGTTGGCCGATTTGAAGGGACAAAGCCCAAATCTGCCCCCCCGGTCCCCAAAAATATCCATGTGCACATCAGCTTTTGGGAACCAAGTCACTTCTGAAGCATCTTTCTGAAAAAAGAAAGCAACCAGTCTATCTGAGTCTATCGGGTTCATGGTGAGAGGGTGGGTTTTCCTCACCCAATAACTCTCGCCCAACAGTCAACCAAGTCCCTCCGACCTTGTAGATCCAGGAGATCCAAGGGGACCAATCTGCAGACATCGTCGCTGTCGAGGCTTCAGGAAACGCCACCAGTCATATGGAGATTGATCCGATCGGGATGTGTGAGGGACCCAACCTCACTGTTTGAACTTGGGAATGAAATGCAATGAACTGTTGTCATTTTGGCACGGGTGAGGGGGAACGTAATGGACACTCTCATGATGTGATCTCTGGTTGTATTGATAATATTCGCACTTGTTATGCACTTGTCATGTACTTCGCACTGCACTCTAAGTGAAGCTTCTGCGCCTTTTGGTCGTTTGCCTCTCCATGACTGCCGTCATGAAGTAGCCCACCTGAGCTTGGTCGTGCGCTCTTCGACTCCGGAGCGAGGTTTCGGACTAAATTTGCAAGACACCAGCAAACTCAGCAGGCTCTGCATTGCTTCAACGAAAGGCCTTCGACTCTGAGAGTTGAATTCTTTCGTTGCAAACGAGATGTTCCCTCGAAGCAAAAAGTACGTACCCCAAGACCAGGAGAACTTGGTCGATTGTATAGATTAAAAATACCACCCAATCCCAGAGCTCAAAATGGCCCACCGCGTTCTTCCCATTGATCGGGGGAACATGTTCAAAACGGCCACCGTCTTGTCGCCGGGCCCAAAACGACGCTGGCATCCTCTGAGGCGACGGGCACAGCGCAGGGAGAACAGGTTTTCGGCCAAGGACATGAAGGAGAGGCTGGGCCTGAAAACGAGTCTGCCTCTACACACCAAGAGCGATATGATCTGTTCTTCTTTTGTTCCAGGATGTTCCAAAAGGAAAACAAAACAAGAACTGTGTCTGCGATGTGCCATGATGTGCAAGAACTATCGAATCCTCAAGAGGGAAAGTTCTTTTTGGAGAACGTTCCGGCAACTGCACTCAAAATGAACTGGAACGCCCCTCTGCGATGGGGGGCTGGTTTGGATACTGATATCTCCCCAGCGGTGGAAAAGGGAGCAGTGGAATCGCAGCCCAGCGGCGCAGTCGTAATCAGCTGGCACAGGTCAGAGCAGGAGTCCTACGATCGACGCTGAGACCGGCGGTCGGAAGCGAGGAAAGAGGTGCGTCACCAGTCGATCTTCCACTGATCTTCCACGTGACTTCTGGGAGATGGTTGATGATGGTTGATGATGGTTGATTTGGTGAATGTTCAGAGACTCGTGAGTTTTTCTCAGGACACGTGGAAATGCTCGTCCATCGTCAGCAAGTTCTGCGAGAGGTCTAGGGTCTGCATGGAGGGGCAGTCCACAAGGGCTTGGGCCTGAGAGGACTCAGCTGGCCGTTTTTGTTACCTCGTCCTATTCCACGTACCGATGTTGATTAGATCAGAGCAGAAACATTGCACTCAAAATGCTGCAGGAACCTCTTCTTCCGATTTCAAGTTGAGACAGAGACAGGAAATATCACATCTGGGTCTCCAAACTAACGTGCCGAAGGCCACATCATTGATGGCGGCGTTACGTAGTAGGACCTCGGGGTCGGCTCCATCCATTCCCGCGCAGGGCGGCAGGCTCGGGGCCTTCAATTTGGAGCACTTCCTTGGTGGGTATTTCAATGTTGGCTGCCCATCTGGAGGTTGGGGGGTTCAATCTCCATGTGGTATTTTATGCTTATTGCGCATTGCGGTATCCCGCTACCGCTACTGTGTGTTGAATGATGTTCTCCTTAAAAAGACAACCAAAGTGAGATGTTCTACGCATAGTTAGCCCTCGGTCTCTGACTCCAATAGGATCAACGTATCAGCATTGCACACAAAAGTGTGATCTGAGATAAAGAAAAACCCGATACTCAAATCACTAGCTGCTCAATCTGTGATTAGCTAGTTCGTGCAAGAGATTGGTCCCAACGAGCCTGCTGAATGTCCTTGTATTTCATCCACTGGTCAACCACCTCATCTGAAACTTCTCCAAGACTCGTGCCATCGATTCATCACTTTAGCACCACAAGTTAGGGCTGTTTTTTGCAAAAATTCCGTTACAACCCCCTGGATTCACAAAACAATGATAAACAATGTGTGTTCTGCCACAAATATAGTAGTTCACTGGTTCACTGGGCCCAGCACCCTCATCAACTTCATGGAAACCTTGTTGGATGCGAGAATGGCAAGTTTGAGGTGTTTCTCGTGACAGGGGTTTCTTCCTGTTTGAGCCTGCATCTCACCTGCCTACTCATGCAAAATGGGGGGCCTTCCTGCTTTTTCACACCTTGGAATGCAGAGGCCAAACCGCCGCGGGAAAACCTGACCACAGTGTTTCTGCAAATCAAGTCTGACTTCTTACAGCTCCTGAAAGCAGCAAGCATCGGAGTCGTCCCTCTGTGTCTCTCACAAGACATCTATCACACACTTCCTGTTGAAGCAAAAACCCTGTGGAAATGTCCTTTAACGATCCACTCTTCACCCACCCAGGCCTGACTGGTTCTCTCTCTCCTGGCAAGCGGATCGCTAAAGCATTTTGACTGCACTCTCTGACGATCAACAGACTGTGAAGTTCAACCCATCTGTCTTCACTTGACAGACTGTGTTAAAGCACATGATCCAATTCGACCAAAGCTCCAGGGCCCGTGCCCGGACCTTTCTGCATCCAATTTCACCGAATCCACCCCACACGAGTGCCGTGCACGTCCCCACAGCAACGCATGTCGGAGCTGCAGGTTCACTTCCTGCGGAAGTCGCGTTGGATGTGGGTCCCCTTCATTTCACACAGGGGGTGAAAGCTTGCCTGCAGGTTGGGTGGGACGCTAGACATCTGGCACGAAAACCCCGGATACAATGATCGTATCAACAGGGCCAAACACTATTGACATGTCAGCGCATCGCTCCTGAGAAGCATCCAAAGTGCTCGAAGTGGCCTCAAATCATGGATTTCGCTCAAAGGCAACTCGGGCAAGTATACATGTGCTATGCTTTATACATGTGCTATGCTTTGAATCAAACCATTGATGTGACGCTTAGCCTGTTCATGCCCAAGACAGAAATGGCCGCTTACTATCAGAAACATTTATCCATTCGCCACCTTGGGGTCATTTGGTTTGGCCCAATGGATCTCATGGTGAACAGCACATGCCAATGAACAAAAAGTCCTCAAACGAACAACTGAGATTGGCTTGCACCTGGTAGTGGGCCAAAGAGAAAAGGGGAAAGCTACTGGCTCACAACCCGAAGCCCTTCCTGTGCTCGCACATCTCTGTGCTTCCACAAGGTTCTTCACTCTAAGCTCCCTGCGGCAGTGGTTGCACCTCGAGAACAAGGATCAAAATGCAATGCACATCCCATCGCACCTTCACAAAACGGGGGCCGCATCGAATCTCCTTTGCCCAGACCACTGAATCTCTCAGATCTCAAATGGCGCCTTGGTGTCCAATAGTCTTCCGGTTGGTCTTTGCCCGACTGTGGGGCCCCAGACCTAAAGAGAGCTCTTGAAGCTTTCGTTCCAGTCGATGAGTCTCTCCAATGACCTCCATTCTGAGAACGGTCACAGAGAAAGAAGCAATGGGACTAAGAGGGATACGGCATAGTTCGGAACAGCTACCCAATTGTCAAATGACTCTGCAGGCACGAGCTATTGCTTCAGTTTCTTAAGAGACCTTCACCTTGCGACATCTTCATGGCTGGTGCGCAGAATTCTACACATGGACATTGCTGGTGGGACACCAAGCCAAAGACTGAAGACTCGCCTGGTCCTTGGCACTGACCTCATCGTCTAGCTTCCGCCTGATGCGGCAAAAGGGCAAGACTAAAGAGGATCATGGAATCCACCGCAGAGACTGCAGCGGCCACAACAGAGGCAACTCCTACAAGTGGCCGAGCACTTGGCAGCAGCCAAACAGAAACTGCGCATACTGATCATGTGTAGTACATATCTATATATGTGAGACCAGGAATGAGATTCGGGTCGCAGTCGGAGTTTAGGAGACCCGACGTCAGTTGCACCATCTGCATCTTCATCTTTTCCAGACTGGGCAAGTGACAGCTCTGGTCAAGGCATCGTTTTTTCGATCTGACGGTTCTCCCAAGAAGTGAACTGTTGATGCACTCCCAAGGACGCTACTAGGGGCTCCTGGCATCGCTACTAGGAGCAAGGACGCTACTAGGGGCTCCTGGCCTTACTACTAGTAACAAGAAGCTATTAGAAATAAGAAGCTACTAGGAGTCATATGATTGTCTTGCCATTCGTCGACCAGCCCTGGTTCCCCCCCTTTCCAATGGGCCATGTCGACGTCCAATCTCCCGAAACAGTCCCTCCCTGGCTGAGTTCTTTGCTCTTGAACCTTCGCTCTGACACTTTGCGCCTCAGTCATGGAAGATCTGGGCCATCCCAAGCGGGGATACTTTACTTCCTACATTTCTTCTTACCTTCCTAAAGCCTATCTTCCTACCCTACTACCTTCCCTCCTTCCTTCCTACCGTCCTATCTTTCCAGCATCATATCTTCCTCCTTTCCTTCCTACCTTCCTACCCTCCGACTTTGCCACCTTCCTTTCTACCTTCCTATCTTCCTACCTGCCTACCCTTCGACTTTACCACCTTCCTTCCTATCTTCCTACCTTCCAATCCTGCTCTTTTCCCACCCTTCCACCTTCCTACCTTCTTACCTTTCTCCTTTCCTTCCTACCTTCCTTCCTCCCTACCTTTCTACCTTCGTTCCTTTTCCTTCCTTCGTTCCTTCCTTCCCTTTCTGTGCTTGGAACTTTCGACAAACCAGTCCTTCAAACATGTCCCTTTGCCGCCCAAAATGTGCATATTCATGACCGCTACAACTGGTTGGCCCGCCTCGAGCTCCGCTACAGACCTCTCATTCTGAACCTGCTCAGACGTTCAGAGAATGGCATCCCTCTGTCGTCTCTTTCACTGTTTGTCCTGAGTTTTCAATGTACACACGAGTCGCAAACTAGGCCAATCGACGAAGCCTTTGAAGGGACCGACATGTTCATCACTTTTGAGCAATGGCATGAGCATTCCGTCGTCCGTTTCAAGCGTCAGCTCCGATGGGCATGTGCCTGGTGCCAATCGACAATATGATAAGACCCTCTCGGATTGAGACTGCCACAGTGCCTGCCTGCGCTTGGAGATTCTTTTTCTCCCTCTCGTGTAGCTCCTGCATTCTCAAAATTACGACTCATGGTTCTTTTCTTGGATTTCTTACTTTGCACTAGTGGCACTAGATACAGTATTCGTGTCCGAAACATTTCCATGCCAAAAGTGGAGAACTATGGCTCTTTGCATCAAGCATGTTCAATTGTCCACTTATCTTTGGCAAAGCTGAAGAACTTCGGAGCAGCACCTCTTGGAAAGCACGGTGCTTTTGGAGAGCACATGCTTGCCTTCAACCATTACTTCTCAAAAGAATAATAATGTTTAATCAATTTTACTTTTGGACTATGTATGTGTATATATATATACAGTATATGATATTCAACGATACAAGCAAACCACCGGGTCCACCACCACACCGGAAAAAAATGGCGAACCCTCGTGCCGACTCGTCTCCCAAGATCCGAAGGTCGAACCTTCAAAGCACTGACTTCGCGCTTCAACCGCTCATTCTCCTGGGCACCGAGAGAGAGGGAATGACACGGAATGAAACAGCAAGACCATGCCTGACCGTCTCTTGAACAAGCACAACGAAACCAGCAAAAGCAGAACAGAAACTGCTTCCCCAACAAAAGAGAAATCTCATCGAAAAGAAGGCCTTTCAGTTGCAGAAGTCACTCTTTGTCAGGCAGAACCATGTGGTAGTGGTTTGTCTCCAATCCCAGTCAAGTGGGGACAACGAGGGTTGGCACCTTGGGTCGCTGTAATGGTCACCTCGGTGCATTCATCCTACTAGCTTCTTGCTCCTAGTAGTAAGGCCAGGAGCCCCTAGTAGCGTCCTGGCTCCTAGTAGCGATGCCCTTTGCTCCTAGTAGCGAACCGTGTTCCATTCCAGTTCAGAAACATTACATGTGGGAAACCCAGTCGACCCACGTCCTCGCTCATCTTCGAGAGGAGCTCTGCGTCCATCGTGCTGCCAGGGGGGCCATCGGCCTCCATGTCAGGGAATTGAACAGGAGGACTTTGGGCAGTTCTGGAGGTCTTCTGACTATATAGCTCAGTCAACTCCCCAAAGTGTCTCAAGGGGGTTTTGGAGACTCAGAGAAGAGAGGGTTTTGGAGACTCAGAGAAGAGGGACCCTCTTTCCACTTCCCTCTCGAAGAGTACGCTCTCTTGTCCTTCCTCACTCTGCCCGTATCTGGTGTAGCACAACAAAGTCATTCCAGATTCGCTCCTCGTCACCCATGGCCAGGTCGCACACGTGGCGGCAGCCACACAGGCTACTTTGCAAAGAAAAAAGGACCAAAGGTTCTAGTCTAGGGAGGGCTAGTGGGTTAGATTCGAAGTTTGATACTGAGTTGAGTTGGTTGGCTATCCTTTGCATCCTGAATGAATCTGGATCATCCGTTCCTGGGATGCTTTTAGTGCCACTTCTGATGTTTTTCTATCATACAGTGTCAACATGTTCGCGCAATAGCACGCTGATGAAGCAACGGCGCGCCAGTGCGCTAGGCAGTCAGACTGCCGACCAACGAGACGGGGCAGCTGTGCGTATCCTCTAAGAGAAGTCTAAGAAACACATCGTTCGTCTCGGTCCGAACCGGTCACTGAGCGAGTCCGGTTCCGCAGCACCCAATCCTTGCACTGCTTGGCCTTGCATCTGCTGAAAAATTGAATCAAAATTGACTGCAAAGCCTCTTACCACAAGGTCACCATTCTCGACAAGCAGTGCATTTGCCATTCGATGCTATTTGTATGGGAGGAGATCATGAGTAAGTTCTGGGCTACAAAACTTGCATATTTGGAACTTTAATTTTGGGCACCCCGTAGTGTTTTTTTGTTGGGCACTTGTTTGTTGCCCTTTTCTTCAACAGCTTATTCACCCATGTCTTCGCGTGCTACAGTGTGTGTCTGCTTGCCCTCAGTCATTCGTCAAGGATTGAGATGCCCCGCCTTGGCCTTTTTATTTGATGCACCAGCATCCGAAGCGGCCGGGCGCTTCATTGGGGCCTAAGTAAGACAGGAAACACTTGAAATTTCCAAAGAGATACTCCACTGCTCAAAAATTTTTAGAATGTCGTTTTCAGATCGCAGCCGTGAAAAATTGTTAGGATGAAAAACAAATGAGGGCACGGTCCATCAAATACGGTGGTTCGTGTGGAAATCTCAAATGTTCGGTGAATGATGCAAATTGGAATTGGTACCTGAGTGTTCTTGATACGATTCTGTAGAAGTAAGTTCACATGCCTGAAGACCTGTGTTTTGTGCAACAAATGCCAGATTGTGCAATACCTGGCAATGCATCAATGAGGAACCAGAACAATGGGCACGTTCTTTAAAGGATGTTTGTCGAATGAGACCAATATAGGTGAACGTAATCTATGCCGCGCTGCCATGGTTGGTCTCAAAGAAGATAATCAGCACGGGACAACGCTTGAGCCGGGAGCTGAAAAGTGCTTGCAAAGCTACCGAAGCAGCTAAGTTTGGATCAAAATGCGCCCAACATAGCGCAGTGATGGCCAACTTGCCACCTCCATTTTACCGCATTCGACCCAACACAAAGTATACAAACAAAAACATGCAAGGAAGAAACAAAATTAATGTCACTGTTGATTTACAATGAACACACAAAAGATGTTAGACCCAAAACAATCAGTTCGGCCTTCAAACGCTGCTGTAACATAGTGGGAAATAATCAACGTGGCACAACAAAAACTGATAAAACTGTATCTTTTTCCCGAATGCGTAGCGAAGGGTTCCCGTTTATAGTTGGGGGTCTGGGGGTTGGAGCTATGTTTCCCGAATGCGTAGCGAAGGGTTCCCGTTTATAGTTGGGGGTCTGGGGGTTGGAGCTATGTTTGCATGGCTTGCGTCGTCTCGTCGTCGTCTGTCGTCGTTTGTCGTCGTCGTCGTCGTCGCGTCTCAAATTCGCTGCCATTGGGGGAAGCTTTTGCAAGTGACTTTGCATGGATGTGTCACGTGTCAGTTTGCGCCGCTATTCCATTGTGATTTGCGTGACAATGACATGTCGCGCAAGAAACGTGATGCATTTCGCTGCACAGGCGCAGCGTTTTGTGAGATCCGCAGATTGTTGCGCAGCTCCATTGGGAGGAGAGTCGTGCTTTTGGGGTGTTGGATGTGGCCGTGCCATTGGGATTTGCGTTTCAGGGTGTGGCATCGAAGCTCGGTTTTCGTGACAAGTCTCAGCTGAAATGGCGATTTTGGTGGATGGGAGTGTGCTCAGAACGGGTCAAAATCATTCCAAACGTGTGGTGTGGTGCAAATTTTGTTGAAGCTCACACGAGATGATATTGTCACTTTTTGTGGCAGGCGCAGGACTTTGTGCGGGTTTTGAGGCGTGGAAGTGCGATTCTCGTGGCAGGCGCAGGGAATCGTGAGGTTGCGAGGTGTGACGGAGGTGACATTTCGTGGCAGGCGCAATACTTTGCGCGCGTTAAACGTGTGGGCGTGGAAAGATTCGTGGCAGGCGCAGGGAATCGTGAGGTTGTGAGTTGTGGTAGAGGTGAATGTCGCTGTCACATTGGGATTGCCGTGTGAGCGGATGTTGTTTGGAAGGGCTGGAATTGCGAAACTGCTTGGCAGGGCTGCGTGATCCCACAAGAGTGTCCCACAGAGTGTCCCACAAGAGTGTCCTACGAGAGTGCCCCACAAGAGTTTCCTACAAGAGTGACCCACAAGAGTGTCCTACAAGAGTGTCCTACAAGAGTGTCCCACAAGAGTGTCCCGCAAGTCCCACAGGCAAGAGTGTCCGACAAGAGTATCCCACAAGAGTGTCCAAGAGTGTCCTACAAGAGTGTCCCACAAGAGTGTTCCACAAGAGTGTCCCACAAGAGATTCCTACAAGAGTGACCCACAAGAGTGTCCTACAAGAGTGTCCTACAAGAGTGTCCCACAAGAGTGTTCCACAAGAGGGTCCTATAAGAGTGCCCCAGAAGAGTGTCCCACAAGAGTGTCCTACAAGAGTCTCCCACAAGAGTGTCCTACAAGAGTGTCCCACAAGACTGTCCTGCAAGAGTGTCCTAGAAGAGTGTCCCACAAGAGTGTCCTCCAAGAGTAGTGACCCACAAGAGTACTGTCTGAGTGTCCCACAAGAGTGTCCTATAAGAGTGTCCCACAAGAGTGTCCCACAAGAGTGTCCCACAAGAGTTTCCTACAAGAGTGTCACACAAGAGTGTCCCGCAAGAGTGTCCCACAAGAGTATCCTACAAGAGTGCCCTACAAGAGTGTCCCACAAGGGTGTCCCACAAGAGTGTCCCACAAGAGTGTCCCACAAGGGTGTCCCACAAGAGTGTCCCACAAGGGTGTCCCACAAGAGTGTCCCGCAACAGTGTCGCTCAAGAGTGTCTCACAAGAGTGTCCCTTAAGAGTGTCCGACAAGAGTATCCTACAAGAGTGTCCTACAAGAGTGTCCCACAAGAGTGTCCCACAAGAGTGTCCCACAAGAGTGTCCTACAAGAGTGTCCCACAAGAGTTTCCTACAAGAGTGTCCCACAAGAGTGTCCCACAAGAGTGTCCTACAAGAGTGTCGTGTAAGAGTGTCCCACAAGAGTGTCCTGCAAGTGACCCACAGGAGCGTCCTACAGGAGTGTCTCACAAGAGTGTCCCACAAGAGTCCCCTACACGAGTGTCCCACAAGAGCGCCCTATACAAGAGTGTCCCACAAGAGTTTCCTACAAGAGTGACCCACAAGAGGGTCCTACAAGAGTGTCCCAGAAGAGTGTCCCACAAGAGTGTCATTTGGACATATGTAGTTTTTCGAACGTGTTTGCATTCGGGTTCGTGGGTTCCAGCTTGTTGCATGGCTTGCGTCGTCTCGTCGTCTGTCGTCGTCTGTCGTCGTTTGTCGTCGTCGTCGCGTCTCAAATTCGCTGCCATTGGGGGAAGCTTTTGCAAGTGACTTTGCATGGATGCGTCACGTGTCAGTTTGCGCCGCTTTTCCATTGTGATTTGCGCGACAATGACATGTCGCGCAAGAAACGTGATGGATTTCGCTGCACAGGCGCAGCGTTTTGTGAGATCCGCAGATTGTTGCGCAGTTTCATTGGGATTAGCGTTTGGAGAGTCGTGTTTTTGGGGCGTTAGATGTGGCCGTGCCAATGGGATTTGCGTTTCAGGGTGTGGCATCGAAGCTCGGTTTTCGTGACAAGTCTCAGCTGAAATGGCGATTTTGGTGGATGGGAGTGTGCTCAGAACGGGTCGAAATCATTCCAAACGTGTGGCGCAGTGCAAATTTTGTTGAAGCTCACACGAGATGATATTGTCACTTTTCGTGGCAGGCGCAGGACTTTGTGCGGGTTTTGAGGCGTGGAAGTGCGATTCTTGTGGCAGGCGCAGGGAATCGTGAGGTTGCGAGGTGTGACGGAGGTGACATTTCGTGGCAGGCGCAATACTTTGCGCGCGTTAGACGTGTGGGCGTGGAAAGATTCGTGGCAGGCGCAGGGAATCGTGAGGTTGTGAGTTGTGGTAGAGGTGGATGTCGCTGTCACATTGGGATTGCCGTGTGAGCGGATGTTGTTTGGAAGGGCTGTAATCGCGAAACTGCTTGGCAGGGCTGCGTGATGTGTGTGCTCCGATGGGTGTTTCCGCTTGACTTTTGGGGGAAGTCTCGTACGAAACGCTCGTTTTGCAGACTTTGGCGTGTGAGTTTTTAGGCAGTCTCGTACGAAACGCTCGTTTTGGAGACTTGACGCGCAACCCTCTGCGGAGATCGCCGCAACCCTCTGCGGAGATCGTGCGTGTCGAGTGCGCGAAACGCAGGCGAGAGCGCGATTTGTCCCATGCGCGCGCAACCCTCTGCGGAGATCATGCGTGTCGAGTGCGCGAGATGCAGGCGAGAGCGCGATTTGTCCGGCGCCCGCACCACCCTCTGCGGAGATCGTGCGCGTCGAGCGCGCGAAATGCAAGCGAGCACTGGCGACTTTGCAGTACAACTTTCGTACGCGGAGTATCTGGGGAGCTGGAAGATGAGAAGG